TGCCTGCCCATGTGGGGCGACTGCCGGGAGGTGACAGTCCCGCAGAGAGGGCAGGGGCTGGGGAGGGGCCTGGCAGGGAGGCAGCCCGGCGGGCAGAGGAGGGAACCCGCTGGCTGGATTTTTCGAAGAGCAAAGTTAGCTCAGCGAGCGTAATGCTGCGCGGCTGCCGTGGCTCGGTGGGTGGCGGGGCACGTGGAAATGACCAGGAACGGCCATTCGACAAGAAACACCAGAGACGGGTCCAGACACAAGGAAGCAGCACCCTGTGCACGACTGCACCACAAGCCACGGTGCAGGTGACCTGCTTTCCACCCCACTCTGGTCAGCCCTGTTGATAAGCTACCACACCTCCGCGAGCCCAACAACCTTACACGCGGTTTTTGACCACACTGTTTATGATGACGAGGGCTGGTCCCATGCCGGGCACAGGTGGGTACTGGGTGCAGCTGGCTGAAGTCAGGTCTGGCAGGGGCGGGGGTGTAGACACAGGCTACTCTCACCATGCCAGGCGTGGGTGGCCGCACAGCCCCAGCTCTAGGCCCCCAGCTGCAGGGACTCGGCAGGCATGGAGGGCTGTGTGCTGGGGCCACCCCTGGGGGGTCTGGCTGTCACCCCCCTCTCCCCGGTTCTGGACCAGCCAGCACACCGACTGCGGCTGAAAGCCCTGGGCTGTCGCCTCCCCGCCCGTCTCCCTGCGCCTCAGCTCAGCCCCTGGCACTCCATCCCCTGCGAGCCCTGAGCGCCCGAGGGTCCCCAGGGCAGGGAAAGGACAGTGACAGGGGTCCTTCCTGAGGTGCTTGGAATGAAGGTCTGTAGTCCCACGGGCGCGCCCAGCACTGGAGGTTTTGAGAGCAGGCTGTGGAGCTGCGGAGAGGCGCACGTGTACCTTGTAGGGCAGAGATTCGAAAAAGATGGACGTAGCGGAGATCTTCTTCTTGTTGGTCAGGAACCCGTGGGTCAGGTGGCCCCCGTCGGGCAGGTCCAGGCCCATGATGCGGCCATGCGGCTCCACCAGGGCTGTGTATACCGCGAAGTTTGCGGGGGAGCCTGGAGCGGGCAGATCAGGGAGGTGCAATTACTCCTGCCCACAAGGCCGTCGACCAGGGTGGCCAGAAGAGGCCTGGCCGTGATGCACTCCTCTGGCCCCAGGTGCCCCTGGTGGGGACATTCAGAGACGGGGGCTACCTGGGAGGCGCTCGTGTAGCTAGCAGCCGAGGGCGATAGGGGAAGACCCCAAGCCCAGCGGGATCCCCGGGAGGCTGGCAGGAAGGGGTCTGCCCAGGCCTGTCTGGACGTGGTGATTACCTGAGTAGGGTTGGACATTGACTCCCCAGCCCTGGGGGTCCAGGCCATAGACCTGCAGCGCTCGCTTCTGACAGAGGACCTCCAGCTCATCGATGAATTCCGTTCCGCCGTAGTACCTGCGGGGGAGGCAGGGGATGTGGGCCCACGCAGCCCACCTCTGCACTGAGGACGGAGGAGCAAGGGTGAGAACACACACCCTGAACCCACGCGACAGCTTCCGCCAGCGGCCAGGGGGCTGTGTCTGGCCATCTGTGAGGAGGGGCGGACAGACCTTAGGGACACTGTCACGGCTGTGTGATCACCTATGTAAGGTGCCCACAGGAGTCAATTCACAGGGGCGGGGTGGGGAACAGTGGTTGCATTCTAATAAAATTTTACTTTTGGTTGAGTAATTCCGTATCAAAATTTATCATGCATTTGTATTTTTTATTATTTGTATACTAATACTTGTAATAACTCAATCCAGAAGAAATTTTTAACACTTAGGCCTTGTGGTCACAAACAGCTTTAAAAATTTTAAACTAAATGTATATACATTTTTTGAGTATAGTGAAAACCACATAACATAAAATTTGCTGTCTTAACCATTTTTAAGCATTCAGTTCAGTAGTGTTACATTGATAAGTACGTTCACATTGTTGTGTAACCGATCTCCAGAACATTTTCATCTTGCAAAACTGAAACTCTGTACCCACTGAACAACAGCTCCCCACCCGCTTCCTGCCCCTGGAAACCACAGTTCTACTTTGTTCTGACAATTCCAGGAGCTTCATCTATGTGGAATCATACAGTATTTGCCTTTTTGTGACTGGTTTATTTCATTGAGCATAATGTCCTCAAGGTTTATCCATGTTGGAACAAGTGTCAGGATTTCCTTCTTTTTTGAGGCTGAAGGACATTCCAGTGTATGGATGGACCACAGTTTGTGTATCCACTCATCCATGAGTGGACACTTGGGTTGCTTCCACCTTTTGGTTCTTGTGAATAATACTGCAATGAACATGGGTGTACAAATATCTATTTGAAGTCCTGCTTTCAACCCTATTGGCTAAACACCCAGGAGTGGGATTGCTGGATCATATGATAGTTCTATTTTTAGTTTTTTTTAGGAATCTCCATACTGTTTTCCATAGCGGCGGCACCGTTTCACATTCCCACCAGCAGAGCACGAGGCTTCCAGTTTCTCCACATCCTCGCCAACAATTGTCATTTTGTTTTTTTGATAGTAGCCCTCCTAGGGGGTATGAGGTGGTATCTCACCGTGGTTTTGAATGGCATTTCCCCGATGGTTAGTGATGCTGAACATCTTGCGTGTGCCTGTTGGCCAGAGTTAGTGTTTCATGGGTACAGAGCTTTGCTTCCACAAGATGAAAAAGTTCTGGAGATGGATGGTCACCATATCAAGAGTATACTTAATGTCAATGAAGTTTTCAATTAAAAATGGTAACTTTTACGGTATGTGTATTTTACCACACTAAAGAGGGGGAATGTGAGGTTTGTACTCACAACACTTCAGACACCAAATGTTTGGGTTTTTTTCCTCACACCGACCAGCTCTGACAACCCTGTTGCCCTACAGTTCAGTTCTGACCTAGCTGCTCCGAGTTAGCGCCAGACCTACAGGACCTGCAAGGTTCGGACCCCCCCATTCCGTGTGATGAGCCTGGGCTTCCTGTAACACCCCCTTAAGTCCAGCAATTGCTAGAAGGACTCACAGAACTCAGGGCAGCACTTTACTTACTGTTCCCGGTTAATTATAAAGGACACAACTTGGGCTTCCCTGGTGGCACGGTGGTTAAGAGTCCACCTGCCAACGCAGGGGACATGGTTTCAAGCCCTGGTCCGGGAAGATCCCACATGCCGCGGAGCAACTAAGCCCACGCGCCACAACTACTGAGCCTGTGCTCTAGAGCCCACGAGCCACAACTACTGAGCCCGTGCGCCACAACTACTGAAGCCCGTGTGCCTAGAGCCCATGCTCCGCAACAAGAGAAGCCACCACAATGAGAAGCCCGTGCACCACAACAAAGAGTAGCCCCCGCTAGCCCGAACTAGAGAAAGCCCACGCGCAGCAACGAAGACCCAACGCAGCCAAAAATAAATAAATAAAATAAAATTTAAAAATAAAGGACACAACTCAGGACAAATGAAGAGATGCATGGGCAGGGTATGGGGAAGGGGCTTGGAGCTTCCACGCTCCCCCCACAGGTGCCACCCTCCCAGCACCTTGATGTGTCTGCCAGGCAGGACAGTCCCCAAGCCTCGCTGCTCAGGTTACTATGAGGCCTGACCGGTGAGATCGGCTGCCACGACTGACTGGGTCTCCAGCTCTCCAGTCAGGCCACCAGCCCCCATCCCGAAGCGCTCGAGGAGCCACCAAGTGTCACCCTCTTAACACACACTAGGTTCGGTAGGAAGGGCTCATCGTGAGTAACAAAAGCTGCTCAAGGGATTTGGGAGCTGTGCCAGGAACGGGACAAAGCCCCAATACCCTTCTACCATATTCTTGGGGTCCACAGAATTGAACACTTTACCTGGGGGGACTGAACGGCACGCATATTACATCTCAATAAAACTGTGATAGAAAATAAAAACCAGAACTTTGTTTTTCAACTTGTATCAGGCAGCCGTTAATGCTAGATCAATATTGTTTTCAAATATTAACTCTGATCACTGATAATGTTCCAAAAGGTTAACTGACGTTACTAACAAAACATGAAAATGAAAATGGTTAATAATCACTTCTTAAAAGAGTATTTTACCATGAATAAATGAGTTAATTATCTACACACCTATTTAAGTTTTTCATGACAGTCTTATCTGGTTCAGGGAAGGAACTGAAAACCACAGAACTAGTCTTACAGCTGAAAGGGGCTTCACGGACCGATCTGGAGGTTCCCTTCTGCCTCACACTCCCTGCTCTGTGACCCAAAGGGCCTGGTCTCCCACAGCTTGCGGGAGAGCAGCCCACGCCAGGGACAGAGCTGTGGACAGGCAGGACGTCAGGCTGCACCATTTTCCAGGGGAGCAAAGACAGGACGGGATCTGAGGTCACTGCAAGTCTCCCACAGAGGCAGCTGGGAGCTGTGGCAGGAGCCACGTGGCAACAGGGCCCATCAGACTGGAGCAGCCTCCTTCACGTATTCCCCAATTCCTTATCTGAAAAGGGGTGAGCGTGCTTACTTTGTGGTTGGGCTGTGGATACCTAAAAATGAGGGTGTGTGACCACGCTTCGCGTTGCTAAAATGCGAGAAAATGAGGCTCGGGGGTGAAGAAAGTCAGTGAGTGCTAAGGGAGCGGCAACGCGGGCCCGGCTGCTGTCCCTCCCCACCCCCACTTTCCCCTCCATCCCCTCCTCCCCCCCCCTCCCGCACGCCCCATTCTGTTCTGGGCTAGGGATTTGGTTTTGGCCTGGGATCCAAGCCAAGATCTTCAAGTCGACAAGTCGACTTGACGGATGCCCCTCACTCATGTCGCCATGGGAACAGGGCTGGGGGGCGGGTACTGCTGTGGCCAGGGCGCCCTCAGCCCCCGCAGGAAGCGGCAAGACTTCTGTACCGCACCTCTCTGCTGAGGCACCGAAGCATTTTCTACAAGGTCAGCTGGAAATGCCGGAACCCCCGGGGCAGCCTGGGGTTTGGAGCGTGTGTGGTTTTCCAACATCAACGGCCAATTCTCGGACACCAACTAGGTGTCCAGTGATTCTACTCGGTTCTGACACTGACCACCCAGAGTCAGCACGGACCCACAGGCTGAGGGCTCAGGCCCACAAGTCTACCCCCAACTTCAGACATCAGGAGAAAGTCCCCAGTCACCAGGCCGCCCGCACTGCTGCCCAAGGTGGCTACAAATTCTGGGGTGCTCACAACCCCCTCAGGTTCGATAATTCACTGGAACAACTCGGGACTCAGGAAAGTGCTTTACTTATGATCACTGGTCTATCATGAAGGACTCACCTTGGGAACAGCTTAATGAAGGAGACGCATGGGACAAGGTAAGGGAGGTGTGTGACCCACAACCACTGCCCTCTGGCCGCCCCACCCGGCCCCTCCCAGGGGGTTGGGCATCGGGGGCCAAAAGTGCTGACCCTCTAATCAGTGTAGCATGGCATCTCCACTCCAAGGTGACCCTCCCTTTTCCGTGTCCTTTGGGACACAAGTGTACAAATTTGCAAAAACCTCGCGTTAATTCTGGAATCACCATCTTTGCCTGACGATGACTGTAATGAAAACCAGAAATGAATATGACTTCTTGTGGTTCTCAGGGTGAAGGAGTTGACGGAAATCACTGGGTAGGTAAATCCAGCACCTAAAATGCTGAAACGCTTTCTAGTATGAGACGTTATTTTCACTTCGGGGTCCCCTTCCTGCTACGGATGCGATTCCCCACACAACCTTCCACTAAGCACTGACATCCCTCTGGAGGTTCAGCCACGGCCGGCAGCTGCTCCTTCGGGCCTGGCTGTTATTCCAGAAAGGCCCCAGGGGGACGGTCCAATGGACCCCGACTATCCTGCCCTGACAGCATTGGCGCTGCCACCCTCTGGGAATTGTAAGAGAGGAAACAGAAGGCCCCGCTGTTGAGAACCTGGCTGTTTTCTGAAATTTCCTCAGTTTTAGACTCCATCCTGATTCACTGCCTTAGAGGCAGGCCTGGATGACACTCACGTACCTTTGGCCCGGGTACCCCTCCGAGTACTTGTTGGTTAAGCAAGAACCCAGGGCCTCCAGAACAGCCCGGCTGGCAAAGTTCTCTGAGGCAATCAGCTCCAGTCCGGCCCTCTGCCGGTTACTCTCCTTCTTAATGATGCTGTAAACCTGACGAGAAGAAAACAGGCGCTGAACACCGGGACGTTTCAGTTGAACGTTTCGCTCTGATCAAAGCTAGAACCGAGTAAAGAGAAGAGACACTATTACACACTCATACTTTGCCCTCAGAAGCCGAGCATAACCGGACTAAGGTGATTCCCACAGCACCTAAGGAACAGAGGAAATCTTCCTCAAAGCTTTTAGCACCTGGGAAGGAATTAACAGAAAATGAATTAAGGAAAACAAAACGACGGAAGAGAAGATGATCCTTAAAACACATATGCCACAGAATTTAAAATTCTATACCATCTTGTTCTTGTCATCCCTACAGTTCACCAAGTTTTCCCTCCTGAACCTTGTTCCTTGCTCCCCTTCCTTAAAATAAAAGATGTTTAGATAAATCCACAGAGACAGAAAAGAGACCAGTGGTTGCCTACGGCTGGGAATCTGGGGGGTGGATGGGGTGACAGCTAATGGGTTTGAGGTTTCTTTTTGGAGGGATTAAAATGTTCTAAAAGTGATAGTGAATACTCTAAAAACCACTGAATTGTGTACTTTAAATGGGTGACTTGTATGGTAAATGCATTCACTCATCTCACGCATAAAGCTGTTGTAAAAATACATAAATAAAAGATGCTTCTAGAAATACTCCTCTGGGGCCTCCCTGGTGGCGCAGTGGTTGGGAGTCCACCGGCCAATGCAGGGGACACGGGTTCGTGCCCCGGTCCGGGAAGATCCCACATGCCGCGGAGCGGCTGGGCCCGTGAGCCATGGCCGCTGGGCCGACGCGTCCGGAGCCTGTGCTCCGCAACAGGAGAGGCCACAACAGTGAGAGGCCCGCGTACCACAAAAAATAAATAAATAAATAAATGAGAAATACTCCTCTGAATGTAAGGTCGAATCTCAATGACCGACCGTCCCCCTTTCCTCGGGAGGAGCCAGCACAGCGCTCTGCACTTTGCAGAAACTCAAATATCTAAATTTACCCTCAAAGGACTTTTAGCCACTTTGCAGCCACTACCTATAAATCCGCCCTCTTACCTGAACCACAAGGCTGTCCCGAGCACGGTTTATTTCTAGTGAGAACTAGAGGTCTGAACAAGGGCCTCCAACATCAGAACACCCGAAAGGACCCGCAGCCTCACCTCCACGTCGCTGTCTTTCAGGGGCTGCGCCAGCATCTTCTCATGCGAGGACCACAAGTTGGCATCCACGGGGGCTCCGTTGACGGGAGTCGCCATCGCGCTGGTTCAGAGTCGCCTAAAAATGGGAAAACTTCCAACATTAAACTCAGCCACAGCTTGGGGCTTCCCTGGTGGCACAGTGGTTGAGAATCCACCTGCCAATGCAGGGAACACGGGTTCGAGCCCTGGTCCGGGAAGATCTCACATGCCGCGGAGCAACTAAGCCCGTGAGCCACAAGTACTGAGCTCACGCGCCACAACTACTGAAGCCTGCGCGCCTAGAGCCCGTGCTCCGCAACAAGAGAAGCCACTGCAATGAGAAGCCCGTGCACGGCAACAAAGAGTAGCCCCTGCTCGCCGCAACTAGAGAAAGCTTGTACGCAGCAACGAAGACCCAATGCAGCCAAAAATAAACAATTAAAAAACCCTCAGTCACAGCTCAGTACCACCTGTCAGTTCCCGAGTCGCCAAAGTACTGACACACGTGTTAGCCTTGCCCCCAGAACCACCTGGAGAACATGAGGACTCTGCTGCAGAACCACCACGAGGGCTCCCTGCTGGTTCATCAGGAGACCCGCCCTCCTTGCCTTGAGGCCGAACCAGCCTCAGGGAGCCCGACATCCCCTCTTCACAGCTGAACTTATTTATCCTAGTTGTGGTTTAGCTCTAAGCCAGCTTCCTTGAAGGCAAGGACTGAGGGTTACTTTTTAAAAAATCTCCCACAGTACCAGACACAGCCATACAGGAGTAATATTTGCCAGGTGAGCAAGTGAATTGCTGGCTTATGTATTATTCCTTCTATTTTTCAAGTACTGAAAATGAGACTCAGAAAAGTATATTAGCCAAGGGCTGCAGAGCCCGCTGGCCACGGAGGACAGACTCAAACCCCAGCTCACATTCCACGCACCCAGAGTCCCGCCGCCGGGGTTTTAGGTAAAGCGCGCCCTGGCTGGAAGCCAGGCCTCCCGTAAGGACCGTGGTCAGAGGCACACGCCTGTATTCGGCATCACTGCAGTACAGCCAGTTGGACAGGTGTGTGTCTTACCATACGTCCCCACAAAGGACGAGCATTTGAGCTCAGTGGTATTTCTGCTCAAGTGAGAGCTTAAATATTTACAGGAACTGACCTCCTTTAATCAATAGTTGGCAGCTTTTCAGTGCTCTCCATGAATTAGGTAAGTTTTCATTTCAAATTCTTTCCCTCGACCATTACTTGATGGAGGCCTGCAGCAGCCATGGCATTGGGGTTGGGAACAAGCGGGAACCAAACGGGCCGAGTCTTCGTGGCGCTTACCGGGGGAGGCGCGAGCGCACTGAATGCAGGTGGATGACGGAGCCACAAGGACTCGAGCCGGGGGCGGGCTTAGTCTGGACAGTGGCTGTTGGAGGAGAGGGCGCCAGGCGGAGCACTGGGTGTGTGCACATAATACATACAGAATACACACAGGCCTCTGCTCCTAAAACCCCCGCGATTCCCTGGGCGACGCGAGTATCTTTTGTCCTGATGAGGCGGCTCCAGCTGGGCTCCTGGATGGGCACTGGCCACCAGAAAGACCAGGCCATGATGAGAAGCTTCGCAGCACCCGCACGGCCGGCCCCAACTCCTCCAGAGAGGGGAGGGGGCTGGAAATGGGGTCAATGATCCACCGGCCCTCCAGGAAGAAGCCCCTTAACATCCCAGCACCACAGGGTTCGGGGAGCGAACCGGGTGGGTGAACGTCCCACACCGAGGGGGTGATGCACCCCAACTCCACGAGGACCCTCCCCGGCCTTGCCCCGTGCCTCTCTCTCTCCATCTGGCTGCTCATCTGTGTCCTTTATCACATCCTTTAATAAACTGGCGAATGTAAGTGTCTCCCTGAGTTCTGTGAGCTGCTCTAGCAAATGCTCCAGTCCAGGGGGGTCCTGGGAGCCTTGGATTTGTAGGCAAGCCCGACAGAAGCTGTGGGTCACCTGGGGACCCAATACTCGCAACGGCACCTGAAGTGGGTCGGGGGAGGCTGTCTGCTGGGACGGAACACTTGACCTGTGTGGTCTGTGCTAACTCTGGTTAGTGTCAGAACTGAGGTCAATTTTAAGACACCAGCTGGTGTGGCAGGAGTGCTGGGTAAGGAACTGTCTGGTGTCAGAAGTGCTGCGACTGGTAGTGGGGAGAGTAAAGGGGAGACACAGCAGAAAGAGCACAGTTTTTCCTACACAAGTACAGACAGTATAATTTGCTACACAAATATACGCAGTAAATAAATAGGCTAATAGTTCCCCAGTCACAAGGGTCCTCCTTCATCTCTGGGAGAGCTACTGAAAAGACACCATCGGTAAACTTTAACCAGGAAATCCCTAACTGGGGCTTTTGAAGCAGCCGTTATTTTAACACAAGCACAGCGAGATTCGAAATACGGCCACTCCCACAAACCCAACAGTGAGTACTGGGACTTAAATGCCACGAATGCTTCAACAGCAGGGGCAGCACAGGCCACCGTGCCAGGGCCTCATCCACATTGTGCCAGAAGTGGAGAGACGTGGGTGCTCTGAGCATCCTGCCCACGGCTCCTCCTAACTCAAGCCCGGATTCCCATGTGCCCTCAGCAGGTGGCAAACCCACAGAAAAAGCACAAGAGACAAAACAGGCCCTCTAGTCCTAGAACCTCAGAGAAAAGCTTCTTTTAAATACCGACTACTCAAGGTTAAAGAGGATTCAAAGGTGGCAAGCAACACAGAGCAGGTATTTCTCAACCACCAAGTAACTGAAGTCCGTTTGGAGCCCCCTCTCCCCGCCCTCCCCCCAGGACACTCAGATCTACAACCGTCCCTGAGAGGCACTCAGACCAGCTCTGCTCAGGAAGAAACTGCTCTCTGCTCTCCTGCTGTGGTCCCGCTCATCTCACTCAGTGTCACCACCTGTGGCCCTCTGCCCTCTCTGCAATCCCTTCTCTTACCCAAGTTGTAAACTCGGAGTCCCAGTTCCTTCTTGACCCTGGGGAGGGCTCTCTGTGTGGCCGGCGCCCCCTCCTAGGCGGGCAGTGCCCCCCCTGCTCTCACTGAAACCCCGTGGGGGAGTTTTCCACCATGTATCCTGTTCCCACTCAGGTCAAGTCATCCCCCAAATGGAGTGCTCAGTCCACACCCAACTTGAGTTCTAATTAAGCTTTTTTTTCTAAACCACGAAGCCTGAATTCTTTATTCAAACAATAACTTCAAGGTTTTTTGACTTTTTTCAATTAAATCAATAATATCTATTACAGATATAATCTATTATATCCTGGGGCATTCTAAACTACAGTAAGAAAAAGATCCTGAATGTGACGGTTAGTTCATGTGCCAGCCTGTCAGGGCTGAGGGAACCCAGATAGCTGGCAAACAAGTGAGACAAAGCATCCGGAGACTGTGCTTTTTTAGATCAGAGGGAAGATTATTTTTAACTGATACTATATTTAGGGAAGACATACTTAACCATCTATTCTTCAAGTCTGGAGGTTGGCTGGAAAACAGCACACCTTGAACTTCTCTCATCTTTTCTGAACTGTGATATAAGTGCACAGTTCAGCGGCATTAAATACACTCACACTGTCGTGCAGCCATCCCCACCATCGTCTCCAGGACACTTCCATCTTCCCAAACTGAAACTCTGTCCCCATTAAACATACTCGGTTCCCTTCTCCTCCAGCCTGGGGTAAAAACTATTCTAGGGCTTCGCTGGTGGCGCAGTGGTTGAGAGTCCGCCTGCCGATGCAGGGTTCGTGCCCCGGTCCGGGAAGATCCCACATGCTGCGGAGCGGCTGGGCCAGTGAGCCATGGCCGCTAAGCCTGTGCATCTGGAGCCTGTGCTCCGCAACGGGAGAGGCCACAACGGTGAGAGGTCCGTGTACCACAAAACAAACAAACAAAACAAAAAAATTATTCTAGTTTCTATCTCTATGAATTTGACTATATCAGGTATGTCATGTAAATGAAATCACAGAATATTTCTCCTTTGTGTTTGGCTTATTTCGCATAGCGTAATGTCATCAAAGTTCACGCATGTTGGAGCATGTGTCAGAATTTCCTTCCTTTTAAAGGCTGGGTAATAGTCCATTGTATGGATAGACTGTTTTGTTTATCCATCCATCCATTGCTGATACCTGGGCTGCCTCCCACCTCTTGGCTATCGTAACACTGCTATGAACACAGGTGTACAAATATCAAGTCCCTGATTTCAATTCTTTTGGGTATAGGCCCAGAAGTGAAATTGTTGGATCATATAGTAATTCTATGTTTAATTCAAAATAAGCTTTTGGTATTTAGGAGCTTTACTTCACTATTATTAGCCTACAATGGATTCATTCATTCCTTCAACAAATATTTATTGAGTGACTCCTATATCCCAGGCACTGAGCTGGCGCTAAGAATACTAGGGTCAGCAAGACAGCGGCCCTGCTTTTATGAAAAGCCGGCTCTAAAAAAGCAAACAAGAAATACGCGGGATAACTTCAGGGGGTGATGACTGTTATGAGGGCAATAAACGGGTGGCGGGCTTCTGCAGACCGGCCGTGGAAGGTGCCTGAGCTAAGATCTGAACGGCGGAAAGGAGCCAAGCTTATGAGATGGGGGGAAAGAGCCATCACCAAGAGCAAAGGCCCTACAATGGGAAGAGGTTTCACTTGCTGAGGGGCAGAAATCAGGAACAAAACGGAGACACAGGAGATGAGATCTGAGGGCCCAAAGGCCAGAGCTGGGATGGGAGAACAGATCCTCACCTTGACAGTACATAGCTGACAAGTTATTTCCCAGTGCACCTGTTTGAGAAATAACTGTCTGAAACTAACAACTAGAGAAACCCAATTGGAGAAGACCCAGGTTCCTTATGGAAGAGCAGGTGCACATCTCACGGGCCGGACCCCTCCCATTCTCCACTTCCCAACGGTGAAGACCACACCCCCACACCCCACACCCGGAGGAGCTGTGCTGAACTCACTGCAGAGGCAGCCTGTGGGGTTCAAGCCCCGCCCCCACTTCCTAATGGGCAGCCCCAGGTGCTGACACCTGTTTGTCGGTCCCCTCATATATGACTCAGGGACGGCAGTTCTGAGTTAATCGGGAGTC